AGAAAAAAAAATTGAAACTTTTGTTAAATGTGGTTCCTGAATGCAATTAGTTGTTTCAATTGGGTGTTGGCACTATACAAGCTACATGTAACTCAATGGGTTTGGTCATGTAATATTTTGTGATATTGTTATTATGTAATATAGTCATGTTGTGATATAAATAATAGGATGACTGAAATATATTTCAGATGTTTATTATATTGTTTTAATGAGATGTTGTATATTGTGATTACTGGAACTTGTGCAGGGCACTGATCATGTGCTTTCTCAATCCAGTAGGTTGTTATGTTGTTTTGATGTATAAAGATAATACAGAATATAATTGGTGTTTTATGTGTTATAGATTATTTGATAGGAGTAAGCTGGTTGCAATTTTTGTATTGAAATTTGTAAGCAAGAACTAGTAACTAGCCAGAAGATTGTGTAAAATCTAGTACTAGTTATCATTAGTAGAAAACAAAAAAACTCTAAAAAATAAAATATTGTTTCTTGATAATGGGATTGTTTATGAGTTAAGGATGATAGATGCAATTGTTTTGTAGCAGTTATGTATAGAGATGGCTTTCATATAGAAATTTTTTTTTATTCATCTTCTCTGTTCCAAGTTATTGTCCAGTGCCATTACCAGTTACTAGACCTCTTAGCGCAAGCCATTTCTGAAACCCCAGGAGCCAATATTATTCTTGAAATTCTATTGCTCTAAATCAGTCCTCCAGTTTATGTTCTCTTCCTAAAGAACATATTCCATTAAACAAAGTTCCTTGGAAGAGAGAAGCTTCTTAAAAAAGCAATTTTTTATGAATGGAGATGTTGTGAGAAGAGTTTTTTTTTTAATTGCAAACATATTTTCATATTATATTATAATTTAATATACTGGAGTTTTTTAAGAAATTACAATTTATGATGAAAGATTATAAAGAAGATTATAATATATGACAATATTTTATGATTATATTTTAAAAATTATTTCTATATAAGGTTTCTAAAACAAGACTGATATAATAAATTTAATACATTAATTATAGATTCTAAGAAAAAATTAAAAAAATGAAATTTTAGTAAAAAACATTTGAAGGAGTCCAGTAAATTCAAAAATAATTCAATAGATTTTAAAAACATTTAAAAAACAATACATAAAAGAGTAGAAGAGTCATGAAAATATGCAAAGACTTCTGAAGCAAATTTATAAGTATCTATACAAGTGAATAGATAACCATGAAACTGGAAAAAAATGAAAAATTTTTAGGTATATTATATTACTATTAAATAAACTTTTAATTAAAATTAATTAAAACTTCTTTAATATAAGTGAAGTCTCTTGAAATGCTTGTAGAACAAAGTTCTCTAATCTTAAAAAAAATTGACTTAATAATTAACTGCCAAAAGATCTTGAAGAATAAAATCACCTGCCTAAAAAATGAACTGCATTTATAAAATAATATCATTAAGAACAAGACTTTATAAAGGTATCAATTTCTTTAAAATATTTTAAAAACTTTAACTAATTTTTTTTTTTTTTTAGTGTACTATTAAGAATATTGCAAAAAAACTGTTTACTAAAAAATATATTTAGAACTGCAGAATATTATAAAAAAGCAAAAAATTTTCTTGGTTATAAGCATTTAGAGTTCTTTAATAAATTATTACAAAAGTGTTGGAAAACATATTACAAAAAATATATTTATTAATTAATAAGATTTAAAAACTTATGTAATACTATAAAATAAATTAAATACTAAATATATTTGTTTATAGCTTTTAAAACAACATTGATCAAATTATGATATTCTGATTTTAAGAATTTGGGATACAATATTTTTGGTATTTTGTGAAACATTGTTAGATTCAATTAATATTACAGTTGACTCTGCCAATATTACAGTTGACTCTGCCAATATTATAGCATGAAAAAATTTGTTAAAAACTATAAAGTGCTTTAAAGAACTATTTAAAAACAATGCACACAAAGGTACCTATAGTATGAATTCTCAAAAAAGTATGACCTAGAGAAGAAACCTTTGACAAGTATATTTATTGCTTTTGCAATATCAATATGTAAAACAATTTTGAATCTTGAAAATAATATAATTCAAATTAAAGAAAATTTGATAAACCTAAAATATTAAGAAATAAAATAAATTTGAATTTTTTATAAAATAATCTAAAGAATTTTATTTAATTTTACAATACTATAGGAAAAATTACAAAACAGCAAAACCTTCTATAGAGAATTATTAATTCTGATAATAATAATAGTATCAATGATAAACAAGATACTATTATAATTTAAGAAATATTGCAGAAAAGTAAATTAATATAAAATATTTCAAAAATAAGTATAGACAATACAGTAATTATATTTATTTTAAAACAATTTTTAAAAAATTCTAATAATCTATATGTTTTAGAATAAAGATAATAATAATAATTAATAATTTTAATATTATATATTATTAATAAAATAAATTTTAATAAAAAATTTTAAAACATGTAAAATTATTTATTATATTATCAATTGTTATAAAAAATATATACAGTAATAAAACATATATTATAATAAAATATAAAACTTTAGAGTCCTCCAAAAAAACAGAATACTTTGAAATATATATATATAATCTTTGTTATATTAAATTTACTGATATAAGGATTCAAGGATTATATATAAATCTAAAATAATTTGTTAACAAATGTTCTACAAAGTTAAACTAGTTTATTTTTAGTATAATATCATATTGTATATTATATTATTGTTTTCTAAAAATTGAATTAATAAATGTTAAGACTTGTAGTCTAATTAAAAGTAAATAAATAAATAAATAGTTTTGAAATATTATTTGATTATAACTTTACTTTTAGTAATTCTATAAAATGTTATTTAATTTTAATTTTACTGTTAAAGTAGTATTCTATAGAATTAAAATGACTAATAAAGTTACTTTTATTATTATTTTTATAATATTTTGTTTAATATTTTAATACAAACATATTTATATTAACAAATTTTGTTAAATATTGTTTTAATAGAAAAACCAACCAAACAATATATTTTAATTATTTATTAAGACAAGACTAGGGCTTCTAATGATATCACTTTGATACCAGTTTGATACTTAAATTTATTATAAATTTATATAAGTGGGTCACAATCAATATATTAAATTTACTATAGATCAATACTATTTCAATACCAGTTTGGTACTTTTCAAAGCTCTAGACAAGACTATTTAAATATTAAAAAGTATTGTTTTAATAGAAAAAATAACCAATATATTCCAACTATTTATTAAGACAAAACTATTAAAATATTAAAAAATATTGATTGTTTGTTTTTGATTTTTTTTATAATACCTCCATATATTTGTGTATATAACTTTTGCATAATAAATAAGTTTGGTTTAAATTTAAATATTATATTTTAAAACTTATTAAACATATAATTATACTGTATATTGTATAGTATTTCATTTATTTATGATTTAATAATGTTCCGTTATATTTATAATTATCAAACGAGATATTGTATAATGTTTGTCAAAAGCTAAATATAAATCTTATTTCGACATAGAAAATTTACCTATTTTTTTTTAATTGAACCTTTTTCTTTCTACTATTGATGATATATCTTCAGTTAAATCTTTTAAGCGTTTTCTAACCTTGGTATTAGTATGGACAAATTAGTAGCTCTTTTCTTTTTGTCCGGATTCTCTGGTACATTTTATTTCATTAAATGGTTAAAAATCCCATATAACTAACTCTCTTTGGTCTTATCCGAAAAAATAGGAACTCTTGGAAAATCCACGCGGATACTGAACACCCTGCTATTAGGCGTTCAAAAGATTACAGAAAAATTAAAAGTATGGTGCAAGCGTAATTTGGCAGCTAATTACTAGAAAATAAACGAAAAATTGTAACTCATCTGATCAGAAAATGAAATTGCATACCATTATGTTGTGAATATTATTCCTTATTGAAAAAAATTTTTTTTATTGCAAATAGCCATTGTTGCATAATAAAGTTTTCGGCTCGAATCGAGTTTTATGTTTTAAACTCGCGTATTATTATATACAGTATAAAATATGCAATAAAAGCTAGAAACATACGAAGAATATAAAGTTGTCCGTATATGAGGAATAACGAGTATAATGATACCATTAAATAGAAAAGCAACGCGTTTCTTGATAATGTGACTATTCAAAGAAAGTTCTAAGAGAAAAAGTTGCCGAATTATGTGTGTGACGTTTCAAACTCTCTAGATCCGAGCAAGATATCTTTGCTGAAAATAATGGATGAGGAAGCACAAGTACCAACTGACGTCTTAGAACTTTTTACTATTGAGATCGCATTAGCAGAACTAAGAAAATTGGTATTTTTAATGAAGGTACGTAAATCCAATATTGTAATATTTAATGCTACAATGAAATTGAGCACAAAAATGTTCACTTACAAGATTTCTTGTCTTAAATGCATTTGTTTGGTGTCCAATATGACGTATTACGTCTTGATAAAGGTGAAATATTGAGAAAAGGACCTAATGGTACACTGAACATGGTTCTTTAAAATTGAATAAGGTTTAAAGATTATTTGCACTATGCGAGTGGACATTGATTTTACCTGTATTTGGTAATTTTCGGTTATTATGAAAGTATCGAATTAAATTTATAATACCTGGACATACTACATTTAAGAATGATGGTAGTTTTGGATTAAATGCAACATATCGTTGAAGACGTGGAAAGATTGAGTATTTTGTTATGACGATGGAAAGGACATTCGATATTTAAATTTTAACTGTAATAATATTAAATATATTATTATAAAAAATTTTTCAATTAAACATAAGGTAATACCACGTGCAAGTTTATTTACATTACATACATAACATATCTTAAATGGCTATGAATATTTGGAAAAGATTTTATAATTGATAATACAGTATGTATATGAGATATAAGGTTATCGATATAAATATAACTAGTTTTTTTTTTGGATTTTTCTTTTTACGCGACCTTCCTGCAGAAATACCGAAAAGTTTTTATAAAAGATTTATTTCTGTTAACCTCAGAAACAAATCCTTCTTTCAGAGCAGCAAAATGTTCATCGGTTATACCCATTAAAGGTTGTATGTACTCTTTTAATGCCGTAATCTCTACACCAAATATTTCTACGGCCTGGTTTTCGTGTGAATGAATATGTTAAAGAGGATAAAATAAAACTCATAAAATACTTCTTGCGTGATTAGTGTACATTACCAAAGCTCCGAGATTTCCAGCCCATTGTCCAAGAAAAAGCGGTCTTTGGTCATATTGTATATCAGTTAACAAGGGACTTGATGATAAAAGTTCCGGAAGTAAATCGCTAATAATAGGATTGATCCCTTGTGACTTAAAAAATGATAGCACTATATATGAGAGCGTAGAGGGACAGTCAAGGCTAGAAGTATGAGAAAATAAAATAACACACGAAAGATAAAAATAATTACAGCTAGAGTTAAGCCTTTGTGTTATAGGACCCTCCCTGTGTATTACATAATCATATTCCATGAATTCGATCCATCCTCCAGGTTTCAGAACTCTAACGATTTCCGCGAGAACTTGAGACCATTGAACAACGGTAAAAGCTGCAGATAATATGGATTGATGCACAAAGTCAAAGGTGTCATTGGAGAATGGTAGGCCGTTTAAAACATTATATTGAATGAAAGCTGCATTCCGTGGCTTGACGTTCTGGGGAAAACTTTTTGAGATGTCAAGTCCGATGAATATAGTGGATTTAAATTCTGTTGCTAAGTCCAAGATCCACGTTCCAGGGCCGCATCTGTGAAATTTAAACGCGACAGAGCATTTTATTTTTAGAACAATGAACTATTTAAACTTTTCCCCATAAATGCGCCTGTAAATTGAAAAAATATATATATTAACCCAATATCAAGAACACGCCCATCAGCAATCAAATTGGGAGTTATTGGAGCAGAATATATCGATTTCCAAACTTCTTTAATCAGCCAGTATTGAAGTTCTAACCTTCCAATTTCCTCCTCATCATTTGGATATACATATTTTGAATTCTCATCATTATGAAATCTCCGACCATTTATGAATCTGAATGGTGGCCCATCGTCTTCAAAAATTGTTTTTTCATAACTACTAAAATTACAACTTATTGAAGCACATTGTCCCATTTTATTATTATAACTGGGTTAATCAGAAGAATGAGTCATAATTTAGTAATTGTGTTCCTGGGGATTGAGAAATTTCACTCTTATATAAGAAGAATTCTGTACCAAATAAAGGTGATTTTTGGTAATTGAAATACACGGTACTATCCTAATTTGTTGCACGTACAAAGGAATGTTTGTGATGTGTATCCTGTAATTAATCACGTGAGATGATTTTCGTACCATATTTTTTTACATTTTATTCATACAATAGTATTAGCATAACTTTTTCCTTTGTTTTTAAGAACAATGACTTTTTCTTTTTATCTAGATTCCGGAATATTAGTTGCAAAATTGGGTTTGTAAACCGAATGCCGAAGTTGTTAGTTTTTGAGGTTTAGGAGTGACCAAATATAGAAAAAGAAAGGGGTTGTTATAACTCCTATAATGTTCAAAAACACTTATGAAGATCATGAATCACGAGACAAAATTTATGACTCTTGCCCGTGTTCCACAGAGTTTTTATTATTAATATTAATGTGCATTGGAAGCCGCAAATTTTGCTCAGTTTTATCATTTTGCAGTATATAGGAATTGCACATTGTAACATTTGTAACTATTTGATTTCATCGAGTGAGAAATATGACGGAATTTGATTATGGGTTTACACGTGTAATAATAAGAATTGCTTTATTATGATTTGAGCATCAATGTACGTAAATGGCATGTTAACACATGAAATAATTTATAACTTATAATTTTTTCACAAATCAAAAATGCGCATGCGAAATCTTTTTTTTTTGATTATACTTATTATATAATGTGCATAAAATCAAGATTTAATTAATTAATTATAAATTTTTAAAGATATATAATAAATAATATTTTATTTTACCTGTATATTCAAATAATTTTAATTTTTAAATGAATCTTATATAATTTTCAAATGAATATTTGATGTTTGATTGTTTTTTAATTAAAATTCAATAATATATATATTAACATAATAATAATAATAATAATAATAATATATTTCTTTTCCATATAATATTTTTCTTTCATTTTTCAATATTTAAAAGTCTTTTACACCTTCTTTGTTTTTATTACAAAAGTTTTAAAAAATTAAAAAAATATATTAATATATCAAAATAAATTTTTTAATTAAAAAAAAAACAAGTTTAAAAATTTTGTTTTTTTTTTAAATTGTATAAAAAAAAACTTATAGTAATTACTTTTTTACAAATTTTTCTTAAAGCTTTTCTATCTTCATTTTTTATTAATATACTATTCTTATTAAATAATTATATATTTTTTTAACTCAAAAAATCAAATGTTATATCAAACTTTATTTATATTATTAGCTTAAATATTAACAATATATATAATATCAATCTCTTAATGTCATCCAATACTTTATTATATTATAAAAAATTAAAATTTTCTATTAAAAAATTTTTTTATTAAAAAACTTTAAATAATTTATTTCTGTTAATTAATTATTATCTTAAACTTAATTAATTCAATATTATTAAATATTAAAACAAATTTATATAATTAATATATTATATAATGATTTATATAAACAAATCTATTTTAGTAACAATAATCAAAATATAATTATATTATTAATAAACAAATCAATTATTATATTAACTATTAATTATATTAATATAACAATAATAATTATAATTATAATAATAAACAAAATTATATATATATTTTTTATTATCTATATTAATAAAAGTTATACTTATAAATTGTAAAAATTAAAAAAACAAAACAAAAAACCTAACTAAAAGTTTTTTTAAAAATAAAAAATTTATAATATATATTTAATTTTGGTTTTATTTTTTAATTTTCTTTTATATTTTAATTTTTTTAAAAAAATAAATAGATATAATTTTTACTTAATTTATATTTAATATAATGATATTATTTAAAATTTCTTTTTAATATTAGTAAATAATTTAATATTAAATTTATTGTATTAAATATATAAAAAATATTGTTTCTTTTCTTTTTTTTTGTAGGCAAACATTATTTTTTTATTTAATTTGCATATAGTAAGATATATATCATGATATCTCTTATATATTGGTACAATAAATTAAATGCTAGCCTATTTACAATAATCATATAATTAATATTAAAAAGCAAGTTTAAAACAATATATCTTAATATATAGTATTAAACAACTATGGATATCTATTTGGTATTAGAGAAAATAGTGATTAATAATAATAAAATTAAATTTTAAATATATTTGAAAGAATTATAATTATATTGAATAAAGAAATTGATAACCATTGTAGAAAGATTGATAATAATTTCATTTTGAATGATATTAAAATATGAGTTTTTTATAGAATTAGTATAGTTTCTTCTTGATCTGATTGAATTGATAGTATTTGATAATTTGTTTAAATTTTACTTAATATTGATAAAAAGTAATATGTTAGCAATATTACAGTGTGGTTTTCAAATTGAGTTATACAGTTGAACTAAAGATTTTATTAATGTTTTGATTCAATTAATAGTATCTGTTATAGAAAAAATTTTATTAGTTATCTTATATAACAATTTTATTATTTATTATATGTAAGAGATTGGTTTGAGATTGTTTTTTTTTTTTTAAATTGGCTAAGGGCATTAGATGCGTGACATTTATTAAACATTTGTTTTAGTCAGTACATCAAG